TGAGGAGTACAGAATCTTTCAACAAAGGGTTTTATTTTCAAAAGATCCCCGTCTAAACTGCCGTTTTTCAATCGAAAAGCCCGTTTAGAAAAAAACTGCATCCACCATTATGCAAATGAAGCACAGGAAATTTAACTTTAAAAACAACAAGTAGTCTCGTGGCATCTTAGGGCATAGCTATACTGCCTGGCAAAATTCAAATTAAGCTACGCAACTTCAGCCACATCAATTGCATAGCTGAAGTTGAAATAACTTAGCTCGTGAAATAAGGGTTACAGGAGTCGGACTAAGATGTCCTCCAGCTTGACATTATTTTGAAATAATGGCTTGCTTGTAGCACACATTTTATTTTGAAATAACATCAGTTACTCTGAAATAATGCTGCTGTGTAGATGTACCCTTAGGGTGTGTCTAGACTACATGCCTCCTTCGACGGAGGCATGTAGATTAGCCAGATCAGCTCCGTCAACGGAGCCACGTAAAGTAGTTTACTCGACATAGTCAATGAAACGGGGATGTAAATAATCCCCGCTTAATTAAAATAAAAATGGCCGCCACGCTGTGCCAATAACCAGCTGATCTGGCACAGCGTGGTAGTCTAGATGCAGCGTGGTCGACAAGGGAAGCCTTTGTCAACTGCTCCGGTAAACCTCGTTTCATGTGGCATACCGGAGCAGTCGACAAAGGCTTCCCTTGTTGACCGCGCCGTATCTAGACTGCCGTGCTGTGCTGGATCAGCTGATTGTCGGCACAGCGCGGCCGCTATTTTTATTGTAATGAAGCGGGGATTATTTAAATCCCCATTTCATTGACTATGTCGAGTAAACTACTTTACATGGCTCTGTCAACGGAGCCATGTAGTCTAGACACACCCTTAGAGACTAGCAAAAATATATATAGTATCATGAGCCCTTGTGAGCAAAACCCACTTCTTCAGATGAGCTTGATATTATATAATCAATATAATATATATACAATTAATATAATTATATATGTGTATATATAATGATATTAATAATATATACAGTGCTTTATAAGTTAATAGTGCTTTATAAACATTGAATTGTTAATTCTCACAGGTTGGTGGTCATATGCCTATTACCATGTTTCTCAAAGTGGTCCACTGACCCACTCCGAGAAAGCTGCTACCAGGCTGCTCCGGTTTGCTTACCTACAATTAATATAATTATATATGTGTATATATAATGATATTAATAATATATACAGTGCTTTATAAGTTAATAGTGCTTTATAAACATTGAATTGTTAATTCTCACAGGTTGGTGGTCATATGCCTATTACCATGTTTCTCAAAGTGGTCCACTGACCCACTCCGAGAAAGCTGCTACCAGGCTGCTCCGGTTTGCTTACCTACTGGCTCCAAAGCCCTGAGCCTTGTGGCTCCCATTGGCTGTGGTTCACCATTGGCTGCGATTTGCCATTTGCAGCCAAGGGGAGCCACAGGAAGCAGCGTGATGGGAAAGTGAGAGTATGTATGCACAAGCAATTTATCACCAGAGCTGGCATGTGTCAGCTGACTCCAGCTCGCAGGGCTCAGACTGTGGGGCTATAAAACTGCAGTATGAACAGTCAGACTCAGGGACCCTGCAATTAAATGTTTGTGAGCAAATCTTCAATTTTAAGCCTTCCCCTGTATCTGTAAGCTAGGTCTTTAAATGGGTTTATTATGTTTATTGAAGACTATTCTAAATTTCAGGGTTTGGCACGATTTGGGTGGTGACTATGGGCAAATGTGTTGATTGTGGGTTATGATGGAGTGGGAGTAGCTCAGGGCTGGCTCACCACTCTGTCCACCTGCACAGGCCAAATTGGGAGAACATGGATTCGGACTCAGTGATTAATTAGTAAATATGAGGAATCAGCTTCTCAGTGGAGGACTGTTAATGGGAGACAAGGAGAAAGAGGAATGGGGGGCAGAGGGAAGAAATCCAGGATCTAACAGAGGTGAGCCCCCCGTGCCAAGGGGAGGGATATGATTCAGCTTTATTGGTGTTGGGACAGGAATCATAGAATCATAGAATACTAGGACTGGAAGGGACCTCAAGAGGTCATCGAGTCCAGTCCCTGCCCTCACGGCAGGACCAAATACTGTCTAGACCATCCCTGATAGACATTTATCTAACCTACTCTTAAATATCTCCAGAGATGGAAATTCCACAACCACCCTAGACAATTTATTCCAGTGTTTAACCACCGTGACCGCTAGGAACCTTTTCCTAATGTCCAACCTAAACCTCCTTTGCTGCAGTTTAAGCCCATTGCTTCTTGTTCTATCCTCAGAGGCCAGGAAGAACAAGTATTCTCCCTCCTCCTTGTGACACCCTTTTACATACCTGAAAACTGCTTTCATGTCCCCTCTCAATTGTCTCTTTTCCAAACTAAACAAGCCCAATTCTTTCAGTCTTCCTTCATAGGTCATGTTCTCTAGACCTTTAATCATTCTTGTTGCTCTTCTCTGGACCTTCTCCAATTTCTCCACATCTTTCTTGAAATGTGGTGCCCATAACTAGACACAATATTTCAATTGAGGCTTGATAGCGCAGCGTAGAGCGGAAGAATGACTTTGCTGGTATAAAGCAATGTGAAATTGTGAGCAAAAGGCAGGCTCTGCTCACAGACTCTGGTAAGAACAGGGATCCCCTTGAGATTATCGCTTGATGAGCTGAAACAGCACTGAGCCCACCTATCTTCCCTTTGGGGTGCCCCACTGCCAGTCCTGCTGGGCCAGAATACCCAACTGTACAGTTCCAATGGGACCAAAACTCCAGATAAATATGTCTCACCATGTATAAAGTTTATTACAAAATGAGCTCATACGTTGTTCATATTTCTCTTTCATTGATAAGAAAAAAAAACATACTTGTATATGCTTTCTTATTTTTTTAATTTTTGTTTAAATTAATAATTACAACCAATGGAAGAAAGTTGGACTCAATACTCAAGACGTGATTGAAGTTGCTCCTTTAATTGTTTAATATGCAATCCCACTTCTGTAGAAGTTATATGCTCTTTTTCAATACTTTTTATAACTGACTGGAACAAAGTTGCTTGATTGTGAACAAAATACAGTTACTTCAGCAGATTCATTCTTAAAAATGTTTTTCAAGATCAGTGGACATTTTTCCAAACTTAGAAAATATTGTTGTAAAGACTTGAACAATTGCAGCACTCGTTCAATGGCTGGCTTTAAAGCTAACTATCTTGTTTTCGAATATCCTAACAGATCTTTATATTCAACTGAGGTTTCTTCGCAAAAAGTCTTTAATGATGTAACTCTTAGAGTGAATCGTTCAAAATGTAAATAAATTTGAGGTATCACAACTTCAACATCGATGGACATTAAGCTTGATGCTGTATTGATAGCATTAGATACCATATGAGCATTGCAACCGATTCTAATAATTGTTTTCCCAAGTAAATGCATAATTTTCTTATGAACATTTTTATCACCTTTGTGATTTTCACTGCCAAAATAATTATTTGTGTTATCGGCACACATCACAATAACTTTATCATTCAAATTATGATTATCCACTATTTTTTTGATATGATTGGATATTATTTCAGATGTCTCACCATCAATTGCTTCCAAATTCAAAACTTTAATTTCAATACCATTTTCAAAACTGAAGTAATGAACTAACACCGGATACAACTTTGTATCTTTGTGGTTTGAAAGCATCTGAAAGAAGTGTAACAAATTTAGCTTCATCTAAATCTTTCTTCAAATTCTCTTGTGTGTAAGTTTGAAAAACGTTGCGAATAATAGCCTCTCCTTTAGTTCTGGCACAATGGAATTTTTTATTATGAAGTTCTCTATTCAGTTTTGATGCACAGTCCATGCTCCGAAAACTTTGATTGTGCATCTAAGTACCTCTAAGTGTACTTTTACTGTATATTAAGACTTTTAACAGGGGTTTAATTGCAGTATAATGATATTTTAAAAAACAGCGGGATATATTTTTTTGTCAAAGATGGCAGAACAAGGAGCAATGGTCTCAAATTGTGGTGGGAGAGGTCCAGGTTGGATATTAGGAAAAACTATTTCACTAGGAGGGTGGTGAAGCACTGGAATAGGTTACCTAGGGAAGTAGTGGAGTCTCCATCCCTAGAGGTGTTTAAGTCTCAGCTTGACAAAGCCCTGGCTGGGTTGATTTAGTTGGAATTGGTCCTGCCTAGAGCAGGGGGCTGGACTTGATGACCTTCTGAGGTCTCTTCCAGTTCTATGTATCTAAGGACAATTTTTTTCAAAGGAGCACAAAAGGAGGACATAATTATTGGGGAGGACAAACCCCTCAAAAGGAGGACTGTCCTCCTCAAAGGAGGACATCTGGTCACCTTATTTTGAAGCAGAAGACACTGTGAACACAACACGCTGCAATGAAATGCATGAGGGCTGCTTACAAAGAGAGATCCAGGGTGAGGGAGTGTTTTACAAGAGTGATCAGAGGTCCCAGCACCATTCTGCTAGGTGCTGCACCAATGCGTAGAACCAATGCGTAGGCCCAATCCTGCAAAGCGATTTATTAGGGTGGAACTTGGTGCCAGTGTAGAGCCTAAGTGACTTCAGGATCCATGTAGGCATGGGAGTCTGTCCATATGGATCAGCTTAGAAGCTAGGATCCAAGGAGAGAAGTGAAATATAAAGGTTATACAGGAGAGGGGGACAAACATTTTAATGTATACCTGTGAAGGCTTTTTCTCTTTTCTGAGGTGTCTGTTCCAATGATATATAAGTGTTGTTCACAGTTGGAGGGAGTTTTGTTATTGATCCCTATGAGAATAAATCCAGCCCATTGGCTCCAATGGAATTACAAGTATGAGTAAGGCTTTGGAGTTTGTGCTTCACAGTCCTGAAGCCTCACTCATCCTAGAAACTCAAAGCAGGGCCCTGCTGGTGTGTCCTGTTAGACCCTCCCCCAGCCTCCCAGCTATTGGAAAGTATAACCGTTTTCCCTTTCCTTGTCTTGTGTCCACAGGCCATTTTTAAGTTTTCTGGATAATGAGCAGCATAGCTTGGTTCAAGGGGATTTCTGGAGAAAGACGATAGTTCAGATACAGAGATTTAATACTGACATAACAGGTAAAGTGTTTTGTATCAATTTGTTGTTCTGGCCCATTCCCAAGTGACATGCCAATCCCTTATACAAAACCTTCTATTGTTTACCAGCAAGGCCATGCACATGTAGCATGCTGCAGTCCTGCTTACCAGAAGCAGCATACAATTCAAAGAGAAATACAATTATAAGGATTAAAGATTAAAACTAATTCTCCGTTGTTCAATGGAGCAGACTGTAAAGGGTTATTAAAGTCTTATGAGCTACTTATAACGAGGAGGATATGATCATTATGCAGTGTGCAAGGGAGCAAGATTTTCAAAGCATTGCAACCTTTAATTTAGAGATTTAATCTACAAGCAATTAATAGAATGTTCTTTCTGTCTTGTGACTACTTTGGTTGAGGAGGGGGAAAGTAAGAGGTAAAAGCCCTGATTCAGGAAAGCATCTCAGTTCAGGAAAACACATGACCATGTGCTTAAGGGTTATAGCTCCGACTGAAGTCAATGGGACTTCAGCACATGCTTAACTATAAGCACATGCTTATTTGCTTTTCTGAATCTGGACCAAAGTTAGGGCCACAGTGATTTCTGGTTTAATTTAAATACATTTTAAATCAAAAGACAATGGTTGACTTGGTTGTTCTGTTGTGGGCAAAAGCTCGTGAGCTGGGTGGTCAAGCAAGGTCTTATTGGTCCAATTGAGCTATAGGACATACATATGAAATTGGAAGGGATAGGCAAGCTGACTCTGAAGCAGTTTTTTTCACTATTAAGGCAGAAATAAATAATAAGGTTGCCTGAGACCTGTCCTTTGCTTGGCACCATACAAATACTGGACAGCTGGTTCCAGCCTTGAAATAGATAGTCCCAATACTTTGATTGCAAGTAGTTCTTACACAAATGGCCCCATTTGACTACTCAAGCAGCCTTGTATAGACTTGGGCCCTAAATCATATGTAAACTATAACTCAGCCAATTCAAATATCCATCCTTCCAGGAGTGCAGTAATTTTGGTTTTGATGTATGTGAGGTCTGTGCTTGGTGGCTGGTAATGGAAGCTGTCACAGAAGTGAGTTTGGAGTAGAGATGAATCAGAGCAGATTTCAAACACCCCACATGTCAGGGGCATTCGGGTTAGGTTTCATTTCTAAGGTTAGGGGCCTGCTACAAAATAGTGACCTGGGTTTAGATTTTGAACCTCCCCAAGTTTCAGAGATGAACATAGGACTTTGATTCAGCCCCAAATCTGGTTGTGAGAAATGCAAAAAATTAAAAATTAATCATACTTCCTAGATGAAAACAAGGATAGTATGTGACTGTGCCTGATCCTATATGGTAGCACATATGCCTTCAACTTACATACAACCCCCCAAACAATCAGACACGGTCGGGGGGCTGACAGACTTGCCAGGCCCCTGGGCAAAGTGTGTGTGGGGGACCTGACTCCGTGCTCTCGGAAGGGGTGGGGCCTCAGGTGGAAGGGGTGAAGCCTCGTACAGAAGGGGTTGGGCTACGCACTCCCTGTGCCGCATGGGGGATGTGGAGCCCAAACAGTCGCTTGCACCACTTGCTCCCACGCGGCGGGCTGGCTGAGCGGCGCAGAAGTCAGCCGAGCATCACAGCGGGAGGCAAAGGGGGCGAGGCGGTGATGTTCACGGCCAGGGGGCGGGGCCTGGAGCCGCTGTCATGCTGCACATCACCGCTCTGCCCCCCCCTGCCTCCCCCGTGGTGCTTGGCTGACTTCTGCACTGCCATGGTGAGAGGCAAAGGGGGTGATGTTCACCGCGGCGGCCCGGCTGAGCGGGGCAGAAGTCAGCCAAGGACCACAGCAGGAGGCAAAGGGGGGCGCGAAGGTGACGTACATGGGTGCTGCATGGGGAGCGCGGGGCACAAATGGCCACTTGCACCACTTGCTCCCCCGCGGCGGCCCGGCTGAGCGGTGCAGAGGTCAGCCAAGCACCACAGTGGGAAGCGCCACCCAGAGGGAGCAGCCAGCATTTCAGCAACAGCGCCGCCCAGAGGGAACAGCCAACATTTCAGGCAACAGCGCCGCCCAGAGGGAACAGCCAACATTTCAGGCAACAGTGCCCCCAGAGGGAACAGCCAACATTTTGGCGTTACAGACTCTCCGACACTGGGCTACTATATATATGATGAGCTTTTTGATATCACTGTTTATAATGGATATCTCTGGCCCTTGGGATGCTTTCCCAAAGAAACCAGCATCAGCTATAGCTAAGAATACCCCAGGTAAATCAAGTCCTTCCAGCTCTTTTTAGGCAATGGATATGCTTGGGATACCTAGTCCAACAGCCTCCATCCTCTCCCCTTCCACATGGGAAAAAATGTCATAGCATCCTGATGTCATCAACACTCGGCTGCAAAATGTATATATTGGACATATTTTCATTTGTGGTGTTGTCTTTGGTTGTTAGCTAACCTTCATTTCACTCCTCTCCTAATGCTGTCACCCCATTGATGTTTTCACTCCATCTGAATCCTGTATTTCAACCGGAGGAGAATAAAGCTGGCTGGGAATTTTTCAACTAACTGTTTTCCCACCAAAAATGCTGATTTGTCACAGCTAACTTTGTGTCTGAAACCACATCAGTTTCAATAATCTCCTGACCTGAACATTTTTTGGGGAAAAGAAAAATGTTCCAAATTGCCAAAGCATCCCATTTCAACATTTTCAAACTAGAAAGTTTTAGAATTTGTGATTTTGTTTTCATTGTGGAAGTTTAGTAAATTTAGGTTTTTTTAAAAGCTCAAAATTAAAACAACACTATTTGAAGTGTTCAAGATGAAACTTTTTTCAAGTGTTTAAATTACAGAAGCTTTCAATATTATGACTATTGAGCTTAATTTGGAATGAATTTTTGTTTAATATATTGAAAATTTTCACTGGATGGGAAACTTTCTTTTTTTTTAACTCAACTCTGTCAGGTAATTCTGTTTGACCCCCATGCCTTAATGGATAATACATGGAAAAGTTTTAGCTGTGTTCTACTGCAGGAATTGTTTGATTCAGGCCAGAAACAGCTTTGATGTTTCTTGGTGTGAGGAAGATATCCTGTGCTCTGAAACCATATCCAAAAAGTTTCCCCCTCCTTCTCTAGTCTGTGGAAGCCCAAGATTTATGTTCTTGATTTATCCTCTCGAAGGGACAGTTCTGCTTGGTAGAACTCAAGGCATCCTACTAATTTCTTGGCATTGTTTTTATCCCTCTGATCTTTCCCCCAGCCTAACCTCCAGGCCCAGGATGAGAGAAGGTGAAGGGAAGATGGAGTTACAATTTGTTTGACATTTGGCTGCTTCATCTTTTGCATATCACTGTGTGGATGACAGGATGTTTCTTGCAGAAAATACCTTGCATGCTAATCTCTGTGCATTAACTGATCACAACATAAATGCTTGTCCATTAATCCACTGCCTTCCTGTATGTCTTTCATCTCCTTGCTTTCCAACATTCTCCTGTTTCACTTTTCCCTCTCCTTTGTCTTTAACTCTTTTTAGTACAACCTACGTCAGGTTGATAGCTCCAGGCTGTGGAAGCAGGGGTAGATACTGTAAGCTGGTGGATAGACAGAGTTAATAAATGTACCACCCAAAGTTGAAAGCTATACTTACTGCAAAGGACTATCTAGATTTGATTTTTCTGACAGATTTCTTTCCATTTCCACTGATAACAATAGCCTAATGGCTTTTGTGCAGTACATTATCTAAAAGAATACAGCCTACACCCATATGAGTCTAATACTATTGGTTTGCTTTTATCTACTCATTACACTGTCAGATTATATGGTAGTTTTGAAATTTACTAAGAACTAGTATCAGAGGGGTAGCCGTGTTAGTCTGAATCTGCAAAAGCGATGAGGAGTCCTGTGGCACCTTATAGACTAACTGAAGTGTAGGAGCATAAGCTTTCGTGGGCAAAGACCCGCTTCGTCAGATGCATGTAGTGGAAATTTCCAGAGGCAGGAATAAATATGCAGGCCAGGATCAGGCTGGAGATGACTTTGCCCACGAAAGCTTATGCTCCTACACTTCAGTTAGTCTATAAGGTGCCACAGGACTCCTCATCGCTTTTACTAAGAACTAGGTGTTTTATTGTTGTTATAGTTATTTTGCTATTGAGATTTTTAGTATTTTATTTAAATTCTCTAGCTGCCTTGACTGTATTTGAAACCTATGCTAGAAATATTATTTAAATTCAGAAAGTTAAAGCTGAAAACCAGAATTTCATCAGAGTACCCATAAATTATTACATTTTAAGAAGGACTTTATGGATGAGAAATCTTTCAGTTACATAACTTAATTACCAAAGCTGTTGCACATAAACTTTCTACCTTATAGTTGTTTTTCTGCAGGTATTTGATTCTGCAGTGAAGCTGAAGTTGTGATGTCACAGATTTCTTGGCAGCTGATTTCTCTTGTCATGAACTTAACTGCAAAAAGGGGGAATATGGGAGGAGAAAACAAAAATTCAAATTTTTCAATTAAATTTCAGATTTTGGTTTTTGGAAACTTTGAAACTGATCCACAAACAATTGAAGAATTTCTAATGAAAAGCTTTAGTTCCGTTTTTTTGGGGGGTGGGAGGGGAGGGGCTGGAAAAGGAGTTACTTTCATCAGCCCTAGTAACATTTTTGGTCCAAGTCACCAAAAGTTGAACCCAGCAGTAATAGGTGCTATATTGCCTTACTGATCTGTTCAGCATTCAGTTACTCTAGACTCAAGAATATTTAGAGAGATATTCAACAGCCTCTCCCCGAGTTTTGAATGAGTTATGGACCAAACACTTGGCCGTAACTCGATCTGTTCGTAACTCGGACCCAATTGAGTTACATAGCGACCACGCTGTTCGTAAGTGCGGGTTGTGTTTGTAACTCAGGGACCACCTTTACAAGTGCTCCATGGGAGCTTTGGTCGTAAGTGCCAACGGTCGTAACTCGACCGTTTGTAACTCAGGGAGCAGCTGTACTTGGTGTGAATAAAGATGACAGATTCAGGATACTCAGTGG